GCCCCCCCCCCCCCCCTTCGACGCCTTGCTGCACCTTGTCGTGCCTAACAATACCAAAGCAATGCTGGCTTGAGCACACGGGACTGTTCGCCAAAAGAGGCAGGGGATGAGTTGGACCAGACTGGCGCTGAACCGAGGTTCGGAGCATGCGATGCTGATGCATAGGTCTCAGCATGCGATCGCGCTTGTGGTGCATCGATTGTTGTCGACGCGGAACGACGGCAGCCCGAGCCGATCGTCGGATCCAGATCGCCACGTCCTTCAAGCCGAAGCCGACCATCCCATGCGCAAAGCATAACAAGTCACACCTTAAGCGCCCAACTCTAAACAGTGCTCTTTTGCAGCACACTCAGCCTAAAACCTCCACTTTCTTTTTTTCTTCTTCCACATCAACCCCCCTCCCTCGCTCCTACACTGCCCTTTGAAACTCCCCATCCCCCACTCCACCACGCCGAACCTTCTAGAATCCATCCTCTCTAGCATCCCTCCTCCATCCATCCATCCCCCTCCTCATCCCACACACCTGTTCCAAAGCCAAATCGAGAATAACAAAGTCCGTGCATTGATGAAACAATCGCAAAATGTAAACACAAAAAAAAACACAAAGAGTGCATGCGCGCTCCCCTTGCAGAGAGAGCGTGTATGAGCGAGTGTGTGTGAGAGATGGAGGCTTAGGCCTGCGCACCACCCGAGAGCGTGGCGTCGATGGCCTTGTTGATCATCTGCTTCTTGGACGACAGCTCGGCATTGGGGAACGCTGCCACGAGCGCCTCGCGCACCGACCGCTTGGTCACGCTCATCAGACTCGCCTGCGACGCCAGATACGTCTGCACCGCCGCTCGAATCTCCTCGTCCGTCGGGTCCGACGCCTCGTTCACCGCAAGCGCTCGCGGCACGTGCGCCGCCGCAAACGGATTCGCCGCGTTCAGTGTCGAGTACGTCGAAACCGGTCGCACATCCTGCTGCTGCGGCGGCGACTGCGGCGGCTGCTGGTGCTGCTGCTGCTGGTGCTGCT